GCCACCCCAAAAGGAAATTCCTTCTCTTTAAGAAGTCCTTCTCCTTACAAGCCCAGCGTCTGGCAAGCCAGTCTCCGTGGATCTGAGCATGTTGCCAGATTACAGCTCTGCTCCATACAGCATAGCAGAACAAGTAGCAAGTGACTGGGTCCTTCCTGGTGGTCCCGCATTGTTGGCATAAACAAGCAAAGTGTCCCGACCTTTGTTGTCGGGGACGATACCGTAGCGGATTCGGAGCTCGAGAAGAGCAGGTGTACCTCATCCATGTGGTTGGAGGGCATATCTGAAACACAGCTCTGGATTCCTCTTTTCAGAGAAAAAATATGCCCAAGATAAACATCCGTAAGATGCCCCTGACCCTTTTATTTACGGGGCGCCTGGATGGTGCTGTTGGTGAAGCGTCCATCTCTGGATTGTGGCTCAGGTCCTGAGCTCAGGTCCTCAAGCTCAGTCGTGAGGTCGAGTCCCGTGTCGGGCTCTACACTCAGTGTAGAGTCTGCCAGGGCATTCCCTCTGTCCCTCGGCCTCCACCGTCCTCCCAAAAATAATAAATCTCAAAAAAAAAAAAAAATTCATTTATAAAGTTTTTCAGCAGAATGTAATATTTCCCAAAGCATTTCTAAGACCTCATGGAAGGGCTCTCCATCCCACTGGCCCAAGAACACCACCCATGTGTTTCTTATGTATTGAGAGACCTTCTCACCCGTAATTTCCACCACAATGGGGTATAGGTCCCCATTGCTGGTTCAGTAAGATCCAGGTGTTGTTTGCTCTTTTTTTTTCTTCAGTGTGAAGGAGAGTGCCAGAAACTGTTCAAGATGGTAACTTGAAAGAAAAGGAAGTGTGCTCTTTTTTGGAGCAAAACACAGAGCTTATAAGGAGGACCCTTTGTCAGCATTCAGAAGCTCCTGAGTTGATGGGTTGATCTGAGAAATTGCTTTGGCTCGTTAGGTTTTTGCCCATGAACACCCGTTAGGGCCGTGGTCCGTCACCATCAGCAGGAAGCGTTAGCTCGGAGCCTAACCGCGGACTACCACTCAGCACTAAGAAGGAGCACGTTATCAGTAGACTGTTGGTAACATAACCGCCTGATAGATGTCAAGGGGTCTCAATGTGACCAGTCTCCAAAGGGCGCCTGCTGTATGACTCCATTACGTACAACCTTCTTGAGATGATGAACTGTTGGAATTGGAGAGCGCATGAGTGGAGCCAGACCATAGGGATGGTGCAGGGAGGGCTTGGTGTGAGTATCAGGTGGCACGAGGGGATTCTCGGTGACCATGGCACGGTTCTGGATCTGCCTGTGCACGTGGGCGCTCAGAGCTGCCTGTGTGATAAAGTGGCCCAGCCCCGCCCCCCCCCAACACACACACTGCTCTTGCCCCTGTCCCGTAGAGCCGCAGAATGCAACTATTGGGGGAACCTGGATCAACAGTAACATTTCAAAATTAAACTTAAAAAAAACAAAACAAAGCCAGGCTGTGCCTGGAGTGGTGCTGATTGCTGAACCTCACGGGCCCACGTGTGGGCGGGGAGCGCATGTGGACCCAGAATCGCTATGCCTTGCCTCCTGTCGCTTACCCACACTGAATGGTGAGATCATCCTGGGGGCTCCGGGGGTCCTGGTGGCAGGGGCCCACCCACAGGGGAGCCACCCACCCAAGTACAGAGGGTCCCCCTCTGGATGGCAAGGGTCAGTGGACGTTAATTTTTACGACCAGGTGCTAGACAGTGTCCCCAGAGCTGCCCCCCGGATCGCCCTGTTTCCAAGTGTATGAATCGCAAGCCCTGAATGCAGAGGGCGGCCCAGGAATTGAGGACTTCGCTGGTGCAGTGTTGTCAGGGATAGCAGCTGCTGTCTTAGCTCTCTGGTGCCCGGGCTCATCCCTCTGACCAAGCAGGATCCGTGCCTGCCTTCCGCTGTGCCCAGGCGGGAGGTGTGCCGGGAGCCGTGGGGTTACTGCGAAACCCAGTGCTGGGGGGGGGGGCACAAAGAGGTGCGCTCGGCTTCCGAACACGCCTGTGCTCACTCCCCACCAAATGCTCCCACCTGCAAAGTGCACTCGGGGACCCACCCTGCAGTTACCCACCTGTGGAAGATCGGGAGGGGCAATCTGATCGTTAGCATATCCTGAGAAATCTGGATTCTTCTCCCGATTCAGTGCTGACTTGGCTTTAAAAGAAACACACGAGACATGGTTAGGGTACTGATCAGTCGACGAAACCTATGACGAGAGGCTTGCGGGAACCTCACTCTCTTCCTCCTGTGTCAGAGCAAGGATGCTGCGTAGTCTGACGGGCGGTCTGGGGAACGGGGGAGCGCTGGGAGGCAGAGAGGTCCATCACCCTCCCCCAAACCCTCAGCAGAGCTCTTGGAGCCGCCTGGGCCTGGGAAAGGCCCACGAGTCAGAAAGGGTGCTCATCGTACATCCTGAGCCCTAAGCCCAGTTGTGTCCCCAAAGGGTAAGGCCCCTCTAGCTGATGGGCTGCATGAATGTGTTGCAGGAGATTTTTTAAAATCAAGATATTTGACCATCGGATATGAAATCTTTTTCATCTCCTTGTCTCTTCTTCCCATCTAAAACACATCAAATCAGCCCACCACAGGGATATTTCTGGAAGCAGCAAGGTGTAAGGGGGCAGTGCACGTTCTCACGAACCCCGATCCCCACGTCGGGGGGCCCGGAGACTCCACAGGCCACAGGGCACGGCAGCCGCCACAGGGTCTCTCCAGAGCGTCTGCTCAGCATCCCAGATGTGCGCGGACAGGTCTTTACGGACTCTGAGAAGAGGCTGTGTTCACACTGGGCACGTTCTTTTATTGTGTTACTAGATAAGGCTTCTTGACTCTGCTTCTAATTGCTTTTAAGTCGGCTGAGCGTGTGCACCAGTAGTAAATGCCAGTGTGTCTCCGCCCCCCCCTTCCCTGCCCTGCAGCGCCCGCCCTCGACGTGGACTGGCAGAACAACACGACCTTTGCTTCCTGCAGCACCGACATGTGTATTCACGTCTGCAGACTCGGCTGTGACCGCCCGGTCAAAACCTTCCAGGGACACACAGTAAGTGTGACTTCCGATGATGGGCCCATGGTTCCCCAGAAGGTGCTTGCAGCGTCGCTGGTGGCTGGATTAACCCACTTGTGGGCAGGCAGTGGCGCCAAGACTGACCCTGACCCTCAGGAGTCAGTGTTCAATTCTGCAGGAAAGCCTTTTTAACGTAGCTGTTAGGAAAATCTACAGGCACATACAGGAAAGGATGCTCGTACTGAGCAAATAGACGGGGAACGTTGGCAGAGAAAGGAAAACTATATTCTTTAAAGAAAGAAAACCCAGTTTCGGAAATCTGAGACCTGAGACTGTCTGATACGACAATCTTCACGGCGGGGGTGGTGGGGTTCAGCAGCAGGTGGGAGACTGCAGGAAGGCTAGGGAACCTGAAGCGAGATCCCAGAAATCAAGATATTTGATTTAAAGAGTGGATAAAAGCTTGAACAGACTTTCTCAGAGAGGCTTAATGGCGGATGGACCGTACGAAGCCCTCCAGCCAGTATGTGAAATGGAGAGAGAAAAAAGAACACAAAGGTCATAGGAAGCATTAATGGCCACATTTTCCTAAGTTTGGGGGAAAATACCAACATCTAATCCAAGAAGCTCAGAGACCAGTTGACTTCTCATCAGATTCCTTAGTGTGGGGCCTCACGAGGCTGTTCGCTGCTATTCCAGATCAGATCCCCGGAGCCTCCAAACCCCCTCCCACCCCAGCCCTCCTGGGACACCTGCCCGACTGACGGACACCGTTGTCTCAGCACTAGCTCACTGCCACGGGACTCCCCTTTTCCTGCGGCCCTCCAGGCCTGCTTCCAAAAGCACAGGCCATCAGCTCTCCCGTTACCATCTCCTTGTGTCTCTAAACCGCCCCCCTCTTTATTTTTCCCATCTCTTCCTCTCTCCCCTAACCCTACGCTCTTCCCCAGGCTTTGAATACAAGCCTTTACGACTTCCATCTGTCCCACTTGCGACTGGATCACCATCGCACATTTTTAAATGGGTCTTCTCGCTGCTCATCATCCTGCATGAGACACAAGCTAAATGTAATTGAGCCTCGTTTCTTCCCGAGACCCTGTGAGCCATCCCTGGATGCCTCCTGGGAAATGTGACTTGGGTTGCAGAATCGGGGAGAGCAAACTGCACTGTGGCGAAAGAGTTGGCTACACCCTCGGGTTAGCTGAGGACAGTCAGGGGAGGGGGTACAGCTCCACACTCCGGGTCCTGAGAGATCTGCCCGTAGGGTCTCCTCTCAACGGTTGCAGCCAGAGCCACCGTGGTCGCCTGCTCTGGCTGAGCCTGTCCTTGGGCCCCAGGTTCTCCTGGGGTCCGGCATCCGCTTTTTCGTGCACACGTGCATACACCCGCCTCTAGTCCAAGTCCTCCGGCCTCCCTTAGCTCACCCACTGGCCTGCTTATAAAGCGGCTGCTTTATAAATGCTGTCCCTCGGCGGGGCATTGGCCTTCGTCCTGCGGGATTCAGCCTCGGGGTCATCTGGTCCCTGGAACTGGAAGGCTTTTTGCAGCCTCATTCCTTTCTGCCCACCCCGACAGCACACTTGAAGCTGCCTGCTAGAACTTTTTACCTGCGCTGGGTTGCAGCATCTGGCTTGCTGTTTACTCTGGATTTCCAGCCCCTTGCCCCCCTCGGGGATCTTGTTTATGGGTGTATTCCTAACAGTTACCACTTGGGCGTTTCGATCCTGTCTTCAACCCAGATTAAACCTTCCTGTGTATCCGAGGCCCTAAACCGTTGCCTTCCACCCCCCCCCCACCTCCAGCATGAAAAGAGAGGGGTCTTGTATGGATTTAGACAGGAAGTAGCCGTGGTATAGAAAGTATGTAGGAAAATGATTTTCAAAGTCAGTTTTTAAATTACCGTGGTCTGTCTTAACTGGTTTTCTGCCCTGCCCTGAATTTTTTGTAAATTCATTTGACTGCCTAGTAGTGACTTCTTTTTCCTTAGAGAAACGTCGTCGAGGGTGGCGGATTACGTATGGTGTATGGCCTTGCTTGTGTATAAACGTGGAAGGCAGAGTCAGAGACAGGAAAATAAAGGGAAACGCGGAAAGTCCCTGGTTTCTCAGTGGAGTCTGAGATTCAGCCTCCATGCCAGGGGCTCTTGGTGGCGCTGACGAGGCACTGCTGCCCCCTGCTGGGAGGTTGTGGGATCTGCTCACAAGCCTTTCTCCTGATGAAAACCCTTTGCTGTCTTTCAGAATGAGGTCAATGCCATCAAATGGGATCCTTCTGGAATGCTGCTAGCATCCTGCTCTGACGACATGACGTTAAAGGTAGTGCTGGGAGGACAGGCTGTGCGGTGTACAACCCCGTGGGCTCAGTCACTGCTCCGCCACTGATGAGTGTGTCCCCGGCCCTCTCTCGCCATTTCTGACTCGATGTCGCTGTCCTGCAGCTACTTCCCGTTGATCCATTGAGGGTCCTGCAGAGACTCCTTCCTTGCCCGTGGCCTTTCTCACAGGTGCACCCTGGCATGTTGCCCCCCCGCTCCCTGGCGGGTGACCTGTTGATTGGTTGGCCGCACTCCCCCCGGGGGGCGGCGAGCTTCCCAAGAGCTCATGGAATGAGTGCTGTGGAACCATTCCTGGCTGGAGAAACGGCATCTGCTCACATTGCTCGTCTTCTGTTCTCTAGATCTGGAGTATGAAGCAGGACACATGTGTCCATGACCTTCAGGCTCATAGCAAAGAGATCTACACCATAAAGTGGAGTCCCACCGGGCCAGCCACCAGCAACCCAAATTCCAACATCATGCTAGCAAGGTAAAGCGCAGATGGCCCACAGCCCGGGCGTGGTTCCTAAAAGCAGCCTTGCTCCCTCACCGTGGCCAGGCTAGCCTCAGGGCCAGCAAAACTTACTCATATCCCAAGAGAACAGGAAATTTCACTGAGGTGTGTTGGAAATGTGTGCAGGTCCTTCCAAACTAAATGACATGGTGAGCTCGCTTTGAAAGCACCCACAAGACTCTGAAGTGACACCTAACTTGAGGTGTAAGGATGGTTTGAACCATGAGGTTGGTAGGAGGCACCGGTCATATGTCCAGGCTGTGAGCACTTGGCTTTGGTGGAGGTTTTTGTTAAGACAGAGAAAGGAAACGGAGTTCAGTGGGGACACTGGGCTTGGTTCCTTGGTTCAGCTTGCAGCGGCAGGTGGGCAGCGTTGTGAGCGATGATAAAGGGCTCCCCAGCTCTAGCCAAACCTGACCCAACCACTGATAGAGTGAAGCCCCTGGGGCCCCAGCACCAGGAGGAGTGGGATGGCCAGTCAGGCCAGAATTGGTCTGTCCCAGTACTCACTGGACCCCATGCAGGATGTAACATTCTACTCTAGGTACTGTGTTTTCAAAAGAACATTTAGGGGGCGAACTGAAGAGATTCTGAGACTGAATGCCAGGGTAACTGGGGGTGTGGAGCCCACAGCTGGAAGCGGTGTGGGTGTGTTTGCTTCGCTTGGAAGAGAGGAGACTTGGCAGGGATGGTTCGTGACCCGGAACAGCCATGGGCTTGTGCTTGCGGTGGTGGAGAGTGGGATTTTGGGCACAGGCGGAGGTGGCGGCCTTCTGTAAATCAGGAAGACCTCCGCGTGCACCACATAGCGGAGCGGGGCGCAGCCTCGCCGAGCAGTGAGGACTCTTGTTTGCTGCAAGTGCTCGAGCCAGCGCCATCTCTTCGCAAGTACTGGAAGGGAGTCCTACGTCCACTGAGAGGCTAGAACCAGAAGAACATGATGGCCATAATTCCCTCATTTCGAGTAACTGTCCTAAAAGCCACTTACATTACTGTGCTAAAGAACACACTCCAGTCGGTTTTGATGGCCTTGAAGGTACTTGTGTTCCATGGAACCCATGGCGAGCATAAATGACCCTTTCAGTCAGCAGATAGGAAGGGAACGTACCTGTGGAGGGACCAAAGGCCAGGTAGCAGCTCTGTGACACATGCCGTTCCCTCACGTGGGAAAGTAAGCAGACTTGCAGCGCTCAGCAGTGTGATCGCATATTTGGATGGGATTGTATTTTAATTCCTGTTGGTTTCAGTTTTATGCACTCAATTTGCTATTTTCGCAAACTATTGGTATTTCAGTTGCTGACAATAGATGTTATCTTTTAAATTATGGGAGCATTTTAGAAAATGTGGTCCATGTTCTATGCAAGTATTTATCATCTGTGTCTGTAGGAAATGCAGGGAGGAGTTAATGTGGATATCAGCTTGTGTCCCTAATAACAGCCCCAAGAGAAAGGAGGGGAGAAAGGAGGGGAAGAAGAGATCTGTTTGAAAACTATGGCCTTGTTTTCACTATGTCCAACACACATTTTGGAAGGAAGAGCTCATGATATCTGTTAAACATCTTAGGGAAACGGAAAGAAAGCAGGGTGTTTCTGTGGTGATGATTTGTGTGCCATCTTCTTAGTGCTTCGTTTGATTCTACGGTTCGACTGTGGGACGTGGAGCGCGGCGTCTGCATCCACACGCTAACCAAACATCAGGAACCGGTCTACAGTGTAGCTTTCAGCCCCGACGGGAAGTACCTGGCCAGTGGCTCCTTTGACAAATGTGTGCATATCTGGAATACTCAGGTAATCCCTCCGCTTCCTGTGACCCAGTCCTTCCCAAAAGGAATGCCCTATAAACAGTGTTTTCGGGGACCCAGGCTAGGAGCAGCCAGTGGGCAAGCTGTGCTGAGGAACGAGTTGCCCCAGATGATGGCTTGAAGCCAGCCCTCCCTCCTCGGGCTGACCCCAGGCAGGCTCAGTGCTGCCTGCCCTGTGCCTTGTCCGGGCTGTGGGTCCCCTCCCCGACACTTGCCCCGTCTTCTGCTTGTCCAGCTTCCTGGCATCAAACCACCTCCCTGCCTCATCTGCTTCTCGAGCACAGGTGTGTTCAGAAACGTGGCCGTCTGGAATCGGAGGTTAGAGGCAGAGAGGTGTCCCCCCATCCGAGGTTTCCAGGGGCAGCAGCCAACTGGCCTGGGGCCAGCCCTGACCACCTCTGAGACCACCACCACCTGTGGCCCCACGGAGCACATCAGGGAGTACAAAGGAGAGATGATTTGCAGTGCCCGTGCCATTTAATGATTCTTGAGTGAAAATATTTTATGTTTGTAGCAAAGGATAGGCCAATAGTGGGTTGTCCTGTTGTCAGAACTAAAAGGAGACGATATCTGATTAAATGTAGCCCCTGTAGGTTTCTCTGACCATACCTGAGGATCGCAGAAATCTGAATATAAAGACAGAACGGGCAGGAACTAGTGGAGTACAGTGTTATCTTGGGCAGTCAGCTCTCGGTTCTCCTGACGGAAGGGAGATGGTGGTGTGGTAGGAGTCCTTGAAAATAGCCAGTGATCCATTTTGTTGCATCTCAGGATGGATCAGACGACTTCCCTGCTCCCCTGTTCATATGACCTATCTTCTTGATTCCCTTGGGCTTGGTTGACATTCGGATGCATTTGCGTTCTCAAGTCCATGTTCCCCTTGGGACAGGAGGTGGGGGATGGGCCAAGGTAACTGGCATTGGGGTGCAGGGGCCCACTGAGACCCCAAGCTTCCCAGGGACTGCCTTACATAGAACACATCCTCTTGCGGAAGGAGAGGCGATGGTGGGCCCTGCGTGGAGCCAGCCTGACGCCAAGCTGAGCCTCACAGCCCTAGATAGGCCTCCTGGAAAACTCACCCCAGGCACACCATGCCAGAGTCCCTTCATGAAATACTTGCTGGAAATCATGCCGGATGGATTTGTAAAATGACATCGTTCATTAGGTGCAGTCTACTGTCAAAAACTCGTCAGATCACGATCACCCTCATTATCACCCCGTTTGTATAAATCACAACACTCTTTGAGACATTTTTTAAATTTTTATTACTATTTTTTTTTAGATTTTTAAATTTTTTTTTTTTTTTGACAGAAAGACACAGCAAGAGGGGGAACACAAGCAGGGGGAGTGGGAGAGGGAGAAGCAAGCTTCCCGCGGAGCAGGGAGCCCGATGTGGGGCTCGATCTCAGGACCCCGGGATCATGACCGGAGCCAAAGGCAGACGCCCAACGACTGGGCCACCCAGGCGCCCCAAGACATTTTATTTTTTTAAAGATTTTATTTTTCTTTAATAGTTTAGATATTTTTTTGAGAGAAAGGAAGAGAGAGTGAGCGAAAGAGCACGAGTTGTGGGGAGAGGCAGAGGGAGAAGCCGACTCCCCGTGGAGCAGGGAACCCAACACGGGGCTCGATCCCAGGACCCTGGGATCATGACCTGAGCCGAAGGCAGACACTTAACCATCTGAGCCACCCAGGCGCCCTCTTTGAGATATTTTAAAACTCACTTTAATTCTCCATGAGATGGGTACCCTAAATATTAAAAAAAAAAAAACCAACATTGCTGACTTGTTCCTTGGGAACAGCTGTCCCAGTCTGCAGGGCACCATCGGACCCGGGGGGCAGGGGCGCCGAGGGACATGCGACCTTCCCTGCCAAGTCCAGGCCACGAGCCACCATAGGGCACCTTGGGCTCCCGTGGTAGGACGTCTGAGAGGCACGCACCTATAGCCACCAGAAAGTTTCCCAGAAAGTTGTTTGAGTTTCTGATTTGCAAACTTCAGAGATAAGCTCTCCACGAGGACCTACTGTGAGAACCATCTCGGGGTCACATCCCGAGAGTGGCTCCTGCCGGCGCATCCCTGCGTCGCATCCTGAGTGGTGACTGCTTTGCTTTGCAGAGTGGGAGTCTCGTGCACAGCTACCGAGGCACTGGCGGCATCTTCGAGGTGTGCTGGAATGCCCGAGGGGACAAAGTGGGCGCCAGTGCGTCCGACGGCTCTGTAAGCAGCACCTATGTTTTGCGGGGGAGTGGAGGGGCGAGGGTGCAAAGAGGAAAAGCCAGGCAGTTGATACCTGACTGCACTTCCTGGGGTGGGGGGGTGGGTGGTGATGGGTCCTGGTCTCTGAGGGCCTGGTGCACAGCAGGTGTCGAAATTGAATGTGTTTGGGGGGAAGGAGACTTCTGGGCTGGATCACATTGGGTTGGCTCCATTTGAGAATGGCCACCTCCTTCCTCCCTTCCGGGTTATCATTCTGGTTAACATTCTCTCAGGGAAATTGGTGGTTCTCAGCCATGGGGATTCTGTCCCTGTGAGGACATTGGGCAAAGTCTGGAGGCATTTTTTTGGTTGTCCCTACTTTGGGGGTGGGTACGCTACTGGCATCTGGTGGGTGGAGGGCAGGGATGCAGCTAGCCTCCTACCGGTCCCAGGACAGCCCCCACAGCAGGGAAGTATCTGGCCCCAATGTCATTGGTGCTGAAGCTGAGAAACTCGCTCCTGCCTTAGCTCCATGTTTGTGCCCCTGACCTGGGCCCTGTGGTGGTAAAGGCATGACCTTTCCTTCTACAGGTCTCCTGGCTCCCAGGGGTCCTCTTCTGGTCCCATGACATGTCTAGCCTTTTGATTCGTTCCTGCACTTGAGCTCCAAAGCCGGGGGGCAACACTGGGTGGGCTTCCCAAGGGTCAGCATGGGCCCCCAATGTTCCCAGCATCCGTGTGCTCAGGCTGGAGTTGCCCTCTACCTCGTCACATAAGCGTCAACTGCCATTTGTTCCTAGCATTGCCCTTGACCTGGCTTTTCCATGCAGTGCTATTTGCTCGGGGTTGGTTGGTCAGATGCCCAAGACACTCGTCTCTTATTCAAGCTTCTCTGCGTATTCGTGACTGTGTGCCAATAAAACTTTATTCGCAAAACACGGGTGATGGGCCAGATTTGGTCTAAGGGCTCGAAAGGCTTCTTGGCGTTGTCTGTGAAGGTAACAAGTCACTTCCTCTTTCCTCCCAGGTGTGTGTTTTAGATCTTCGGAAGTAAACACAAAATATTCTAGAAAAGAAAGAATTGTAACGGACCAGCAGTGAACGTGTGGGGGTGCAGCGCTCGTCAGACACGGTTCTATCCGCTCCAAAACTGTACGAACTTGACTTGCATTAGAGTGTACTTGGAAATCAGCTCATCCCTGGCCGCGGGAGTCTCTATTTTTCCGTAACCTTCATCAAGAAGTTTAAAACAGAAGCATACACAGTCCTATCAAAGGGGGAAAGAATGGTTTCCACCCAGAACATTCAGCCTGGGAAGCACGAAGCCACCAGCTAAACGGTGCACGGTTTGGTTTCCATCCAGAACGGGCTCTGATGGCTGAGAGAAGAGGAGGAGGAAAAAAAAAGGAAAAAAAGCTGTGCCAAAAAAAGGAAAAACAAAAATGCTGTGATAAACCAAAAGGGGGGGGGGCTCTCCTCCACGTGGCGGGTTTGTTTTTTCCCTAACAATTTGGACACTACAGTTGTTCTCACAGAGGATGTTCAAAGACCAGTTTGTACCGATGAAATGCGCAACTTTGTAATCCCAACACTTTCTATTTTCTAGAATCTTCTTTGTCCGGTGGTTTTTCTATTGGCTGGAATCCTGTCGTCTGGGGGCCTTCAGTCTGAGATGGAAACTGTTTTTGGTTTGTTGCTTCTTTCCCGTCGTCTGCCCCTCCTGCACCTTTCTCCTTTGTTCCGTGTGGTCTTGGTGTGCAGTACACCCTCAGTGGATGGAGCCTCATGGACACCATGACGAAATCGTGGACGGACAGCTTTCCCGTCCCCCTCCTCCCCCTTCCCCCATCGCCCCTCGCTCACGCTCTCTCTGTCCCTTTCTCATAGTTGCTTCGGATCTTAGGTCTCAAGGGCACTTTCGGCGCGTAATAAGTGCTTTATGTAAGCAGGCAGGGCAGGGGGACTTTTTACAGGAGAAAAAAAAATACTTATAAGAGAAAGAGCCCGGAGTATTTTTGGAAAAAAAAAATATTTTTATGTTAAAACAATTTTAAAATCCTAAAATGGTCATCAGACATAGAGAGCTTTGTGTGATTCATATTTTAAACAAATTTTAGGAAGACACAGGCAGGGTCTGAGGTCGCTTTTTCCTTTCCCTTCAGCTTCATGAAAGGCGGTTAGAAGTCTGGGTGGGAAAAGGTCGGTCCTGTGCCTCGGTCACGGGATCGCTCTGCCACGAGAGTGGGAGCCCGGCGCTGTGGGCTTCGCAGATGAGCACTGCGTCTCGCGGGGCATGTGTACCCTCGTAGCCGGCGGGAGAGGGCCGAAGAACGGTGCCCTCTGACCCCAAGCAGCAGTCCTCAGACCAAACGGTATCGAAGACGCCAGGCACAACAGCTGAGCTCCGTGTCACCTCGACATCTCGTGGACGGCACTGTAGATACCGGTGGTCGCGTCACCGAGAGGAGGGTGACCCGTCCTCGCAACGCTAACCTGAAAGGCTCCAGGATCTCCCCTGCTCTCCCGATGACAGAAATGAACAGGGAAGGAAGATGTTCAGGCCCGGAGGTGAATGACCTAGGTAGAAACGTCACTAATAATTTCTGCTGTCTTCATAATTTCTTTCTCTTGCAAGAGACTAGGAGAAAGATTTTTTTTTTTTTAAATAATGAATCTTTTTACTGTTTTTAAAAAATTAAACATGGCTTTGTGTTCCTAGAGAAGTTTCCTTTCATTGGATCAGGTGACCTTTGTACTCTTGTCACAACCCAACAGGGACCTAGTTTTGAAGTGAACAATGGGGAAGAACTGAAAGATAAGGCCTCTTGTCTCCTCTGTTTCCCAGCAGGCACGGGAAGGGATGGGGAAGTTGGCCAGGCCTGGGGGCGGGGGTCCAGTCTTGGGCAGGGGTCAGCTGGGTGTGTGTTCCGGCAACGAGACAGGATGTTCGAGGGTGGCCTCCATCCATGCAGCCAAAACCCACCGGGCCAGGCAGGGCAAGGCAAGGCCTTCCTACAGAACTTGGAATGGGCCGGGACCAGCTACAAAGAGAGACCAGGGTGTGTTCATCCTTCTCAGATCATTAATTGGCTTGGATATCGGAGTCATTCACGCCCTGTCTACACAAGACCAAAAAGTCCTCTGTGTCCGACTTGGGTATTTTATTCAGGCTCTGTTACCTAAATGCTTAGCCCAGGGGTCAGAGTTCTGTGGAGTCACCACTCCCATCTTTGAAGATAGCAGATGATGATTCATTGCCTGTCCCCAAGACATCATTAGGTTTGGGGTGCAGTTTGCTGGGGGTCCAGACCAACACCATCTCAACTCTCTACACCAAGTAAAAATGTCACCTCTACAGAGCTTAAGTTGTCCCGTGGTTGGGACATGGCTTGTGTTTTATAAGTCAGACACTGTTGGGTGGCCATGGCGAGACATCCCGTAAGGGGTTGAGTAGATAATCTTCAAAGGGAGGTCAGAAGCCCGGGCCTTAGCCTCCTGGTGACTCTGAGTCACACAGAACGATGAGGTAGGAGCCAAGGGCTGCAAGGCCACGCACGACACAGGCTTGGCCCAGGTGCAGGAGTGAAGCTGGTGAGGACGAAGGCCTACTGTCCGCATCCCTAGCTTCCCCGAGCAGCCATTGCCGAGGAGCTCCCCACGGGCCTGAAGAGGGACCAACCAGGAGCGGGCGGGCAGTGCCCCTTCCATCCATCCCCATCCTCAGCACGACGACTGCCAGCCATCGAGCCTGCGACACTCGCCCTCTGCCAGACAGCCGGCAGCTTCGTCTCCGTCATCGAGGGATGGCCCGTGGGTAAAGGTCCTGTTTGTCCTTGTTTCCAGCTCTGAGAAATTGTGGGTAAATGCTTACGTCTTAGTGACCAAATGGATCCTTGATTCTGAAATCAGAGTAACACGATGATCCTTTGCAGAATCTCTGGTTGGGTTTCGAGTGACCAAGAGCGTGTCCCGCACGCCCACGTGGCAGAGGGATGCTGCCCCGCGGCAGGAGGACCGAGGGCCGTCCGTGACAGGGTGTCCACCGTCTGACCCCACACGACACCTAGGACTTGACGTTTGTTTTGTCTTTCTAAACCTCGATCACGGAGCCGAGTGAAGTGCACTTTGTCAAATGTAAGGGTCTGCTTTGTTATTTTTAGCCTTCTGTTCCACCTTTTTCTTTTCTTTTTTTAATCGTGTTTCTTGTCAAATGCAGAAATGTTCCTTCCGCCACTCACTGAGGTTTTGAATTCTGGCTTCTGCAGTTTTTATTGTCTGTGTCAGACGTACAGCCAGATGTGGTCCTCTGTCTGCATTTTCTAGATTCTGTTCCATCCACATCGACCCCCGTTTGGTTCTCCACCCCCACTCACCCTCACGCTCTCTGAGAAAAAGAATCACCTTGTGTGTCGTAGCTCATTTGTTTCAAGAGAAAATCAACAGATCATACTCAGTGTCTTGAATAAATCGCTCTATTTTGATACTAGAGAACTTGGTGCGTGTGCTTTCTTGCTCTCGCGGGGTTAACTCTTGGGCCCACGGTGCCATGGATGGATGAAGACCCCACTATGCGTTTTCTCACAACTCGAGTGCCTCTTCCCAGGACCGCTCTGCCGACACGGGGCCCAGGGAGCAGGATGGCTGATGCGTGAGGAACACCACCCCCTGCTTACTGTTGAAGGTTCCATAACGGGGGTCCGTTTCCACACATTCCTTCGTCATTACATTGTTCCAGGCTGGCGACTGTAAAAAGTTCGAGCAGACGAGTCTTAGCGGCAAGTGGGTTTGCTGGGAGTCGGAGTTCAGGGACGAGCTTTGAGCCGCTGGAGGAGCCCACAGTCACAGGCATATGGGAGACTTGGCAATGCAGACGAACAGTCCACAAACGCTGACCGACCTCTGCTCTGTGCCACACGCCAAGGTGTCACTTTAGTCAGTCAGCTGCTGGGCATTACAGGATGACTGGGGAGTGCTGTGCCCAGCACTAGGGAGGAAGCCCGTGAGGAGAGGCAGAGTCCTGTGCAGGTACTTTTTCACCGTGCGAGTCACCAGGAAGGTCACGGTGTCCTTCCCGCCCATTCCAACTTGATCCTGCACTAGAACGAAGCAGAGGACTCGGGTTCCAGTGCTGATGGGGGGTGAAGCACCTTAAAGCCACAGGAAGGTCCTGGGGAGAACCTAGTAGCAAGCATGGCCGTGGGGAGAACACGGCGGGTCCCCGGGATAGAGGCATACGGGACGTGTGGCTTTGGTGGGAACACAGCTTTAAACGGGGTTCCTTATACGAGAGAGGAAGCTGGACTTCATCTTCTCTTGGGGCATCTGCAGCTTGCAGTCACTCCACAGAACTCCACCTGTCCGCATCGTGATGCGGTTCCTCGAGGATATCTGCGAAGGCTCTTCGTGCTTGCGGGAAGGTTTCTGGGCACCTGTGTGTGCTGGCTGTGGTTACCGTTGACGGAGACCTGGACGCCGCCTCGAGGTGCGTGAGAAGGGGTAGGAGGACGTGTGCAGCAGTGCCGTGTGTCCCTTACAGGCCCCGCAGAATGTGGCCGATACCTTTTTTTTCCCCCCCCCAGTCTTACTCCTTTCCCTCTGAAATGTCTCATCCACGACAAAGTAAGGCCCGCGAGGGGGTGCCCTTCCACCCGGAGCAGGACGCGGACAGGGTGTGGGGGCGGTGGGGGAGAGTGCCGGACACTGCTCTGCACGCAATGACCTTCCGCCAACACTCAGATGCTCCGGAGAATGGGGGCTCGGAGCAGGAACCTATAGTTTTCGTCAAGCCAAAGCGACTGGGGGAAACCACAGGAAAAAAACAGCCGGCTGGGATACATTCTCCCCAGACTGCACGCTGTGCATGAACGTGAGCGCATGCCTAGAGTCGCGGACACGAGCACAGTCCTCAAAAGGCATTTTAAGGTGTGATAAACCGACTGGCTCCTCAACTGGCCAACAAACTAAAATCACACGGAAGCTACCTGGTAGGCACCGCCTCGTCTTTCCAGCCACACTATCCTCCCACAGCTACGACAGCCTGTGTGTGTCCAGCCAGCCCAGACTCATGGGTCCCAGGTGCCGCGCCTTCCTGAAAACGTCTCTCCCATCAAGACCGCTTTTTCGCCACCGGATCGTTGCCCTTCGCACTCCCGAGTTTTCTAGCACAGTAACGAGGCCCCCCTGCAGCAACCAGCCTGACCAGGCAATTGCTTCAAACCAGGCTGCCCGCCGTTACCTCGCTTACTCCTTTGGGCACCTCTCTCTCCTCACGAGGGTGACTTGATACGCTACTCACTCGTGTGTTCCCAGTGCATCCACGGGCTCGCCCGGTGCCTGCCGAGGAGGCGTGAGGAGGGATTCATGCACCTTCCGCCTCCCTGTCCCCCCTCCCCCGCCCCAGGTGACATGAACACCCCATCTAGGAGTTGTAACTGGATCATCACATCAGAGTTCTTATTTGCAAGCTTCTGAACGTGACTCCGGCCAGTGTAAGCCAAGAACAATGAATGA